TTTATCAGTAACAGTTTTTGGACAACTAATGGCACACTTAATCAAGATTTCCATTTATATCAACACTGGCTAGCTTCCAAACAATTCACAAAATTAAGTAATTAACAATAGGAAAAATTAAATAACATATACACTAGAGTGAAAATTAATAAGAAAAATACACTTACTTGCTTGAAAACTTGAAGTAAACCCTATAAAACAAATATAAACGGAAATGTTAATAATTTCTCTGACAGCGAGCAAAAGATAAATAGGCAACCTTTCGGACTTCAAAAACGGATTTCAGAGCTGTTTAATAAAAGATAAGGTAGGTAAAGCCACTAAAGCAGCTTTTAGAAAGTTTTTTTTGTCAAGACTAGGTTGACTCTCAATAGTTGAGTTCACCGGATTGTATTGTTTTTTACCTTCCTGTGGATTGGTTTGGTTAGCGTAATTTTGAAATTTTTTAGAGTTGGGATGGAGGATTTTTCATAAAATATTTGCTGCATAGAACACCAAATAAAAAATAATAAAAAATTAACTTAATGCATTTTTTTACCTTACTAAGTGAAAAGTTGATACATTCTTCATTGGAAAGGAAAATAGATTTTAATGACTAAAATTAAATAAATTTTATTTTACAATGATCATCAAGGGTTTTTTTTTTTTAAAATTTTTTTATGAAATGTTAAGTAAATTTACAGACCTATGATTTCACCAAAGTTTGAATTTTGAACTTTCTTTTTGGGAAGGTGGGTTTGTAAAGTACAGCTATTGCTCAATTTGGTATAATTTCAAGGCTTCTTTATTGTGACGACGCACTATTATAACTGCGAGTCTCCTCCAAACCCAAAAGTGAAGTCACAAAATGCAAAACAACTCTTTGCATTTCCAATCACAGAGAGACAAATAAAGGAACAGAAGAGAATTCAAACGATATTGATGAAGAATAAACAAGAAAAAATGATACCTCCCCGAGTACTAAAATGAGAAAAATTTAGCCCCTACAACAAAAGAAATTATTGTGACGAGGTGTTCAAACATACAGAAAATAAAAACTGCTGACTATTGAGAATAAATATCACTTATTTATAAGAGCAGGGACGAATCTAAAAATTTATATGAGGGGGGCAAATTTATATAAAAGGATTTTTCATAAATCTAGTGGGGGCAATTTCAAAATTTTATGAGTATAAATACAAAAAATTACAAATTTAGGGGTATAAAATAAAATTATAGCTCACAGTAGATCCATAAGAGTAAGGACATACATTTTTTTTTTTTTCCTGGTAACAGAAATGCCTTACAGCATCTACAAGAAACAGAACAACAACACAAAAACCATAACTAAAGCTTCCCACTCAACAGCCCAACAAAACAAAAGAGCCACAAAACCACGTAGAACCGTAACAAAATGACAACTAAGCAGTGCCCACCACAGAAGATAAAAAGGAAAATCCAAATTGTAAATCAGCTGTCCAAGGTGATTGCCAAAGAGCCAACAAAGGCGGAGAACAAGGACCATGTGACCACATATGAGCCCTACAATTAGATCTTGTCTTCCAAACATAAGCACCACTAACCACGGCATAAATGCCTTTGATAGAGTCACGTACCATGTGTCTACCTCATGCCCAATATATGTTTTATATTTAATTGTGAGGTTTCTGAGTCATGACAAGTGTATTTTTATTCTCAATAAAAGTATAATTGGTTCTGTTTCAAATACATCCGATTGCACTTTTCTCGGGTTTTGAAGTAACTCTGAGTAAAAAACCGATTCCATTTCAAAAAGAACCAATTGCACTTGTTTAGTTGTTTGAACATAAAAAGAAATTTTCTTTTAAAGTCAAAATTTGAATTTCTTTTTTGTCAAGGTTTAGAGAGAAGCTTTTGTACTAAATTGTTAAATTTTACTAGGGTTGTTAGGTCTCTCTTAACACACATATATTATTTATTATATCTAAAATCATTACAACTCTTGTGATCTAATTTTAAAAACTCTACAGAGCTATTATGAGATTTTGCAGAGATTGATTATTTTTCACATTTATAATACACATACTACACACATGCGTGATTTATGATGTGATTCTCTTAATCGGAGTTCTTGACAATCCAAGATCTATTGCTACCTGTAATCAAAACAGATTTGTTTTTTCAAGTACTTTAATAATTCTATAGTTTGAAGAAAATGAGGAAAAGATCACACTCTGAAGGGGCTAGAGCATTCACGGACTGTTGATCTATCAACAATCCTTCTATATGGATCAATGGACTAAACCTGAAGTTGAGAGCATTTGGATGGGGGAGTCGCAAAGCCGAAGATGTTTAACAGTTGATTCTCGGTAGAGTGTGTTAATTTTACGGTGTGAAAATGTAAGATGTAAAATAAGAAGATGAAAGAGAGAAAGGTAGAGAACACAATATATACATGGTTCGGCTCTAAAGCCTACATTCTTGGATTAAGAGCCACTGAGGCTACATTTCTCTTATCACTTGTACTACTTGATATGTTTACATTGTATTGATACACAATATATAGGAAATAAAGTTGTAGACAAAATAAATAAATCAAGGAGGAAAGAAAGGAAACCAAATATAATATAATATAATATGTATGAAGAAAAAAGGGAAACAAAAGGAATAAATCGAGGAAAGAAAGGAAAATGAATATAATATGTATGAAATATATTCTCCCACGAACTTAAGATGGGTTTCTCGAAGCCAACTTGAGTTTGGAGATGAAATATTGAAAACCGTGGTGAAGCGAAAAGCATGCGAAAGGCTGGAATAACGCACAGGAAATGGCCGGAAAAACGCTGGGAAATGGGTCGGAACAAAGCCGAGAAATGGGCTGGAGCAACACTGGGAGACATCCGGGTGATCCATTTAAGAAATGAAAATGATCCAGAACTAAGCAGGGGAATAGTCAGAACAAAGCCGAGAAATGCCAGAACAACGCCGAGGAAATAGCCGGAACAACGCCGGGGAATAGTCGGAACAAAGCCGACAAATGCTAGAACAAAGCTGGGGAATAATCGGTCACCGCTTCGGAGCTTTGACTACCGTCAGTGAAGGAGGAGCGCTTTGGCACATGTAGCGCGAGTGAGATCTACTCACAGGGGCGTGCGTCGCATAGGCGCATGAAGCACAAGTCAGATCTATTTTGCAGAAGCGTCGGCGCGTAAAGGTGCGGGACGTCGCTTGGAAGCGCATGGTTGATCGAAAAAGGAAAATAAAGAGAGATTTGAACCAGAAACAGATCAGATTTTACTGGAAAAAAAAATGGCAGAGCTCCAAATGGAGCCATAGAGAAGACAACGCAAACTTTGGTGCAAACGATCAAGGATCGTTGCTCTGATACCATGTTAATTTTTTAATTCAGAATATAAGATGTAAAATACGAAGATGGAAGAGAGAAATGTAGAGAACACAGTATAAAAATGGTTCGACACAACGGCTTATATCCATGGATCAAGAGCCACTGAGGCTACATTTCTCTTTTATTGATACACAATATATAGGAAATAAAGTTGTAAACAAAAGGAATAAATCAAGGAGGAAAGAATCAAGAAGTAAATCAAGGAGGAAAGAAATAAAACCGAATATAATATATATGTATAATAAGGAAAGAAGGGAATTAAACAAAAGGAATAAATCAAGTAATAAATCAAAAAGGAAAGAAAGGAAAACTAATATAATATACATGTATAATATATATAATATATTATACATATGTATAATATATGTTTCAATAGAATGAAGATCGAGGGTGTGAGGCTGAGTCAAAGTCAATTGAATTTTGCTTCAACTATAGTTGATCTTTTTGCTCAAGACCGCATGACAGTATCTGAGAGTTTTTCCCACTTGCTAAAATTTTGGTGTCAAGCTCTTCATCTACGTTTGCTTTACTTGCATTTTATTTTTGCTTTGTGTGATGATTAATTTAGTTTTATTTCAGTAAAATTAATATTTTGCAAAATTTGGATAAAAGGGAAATTTGAACCTGTTCACCCCCTTTAGATTATTATTCGCAAGTCACGTCTTGGTGCAATGAAGAAAGTTCATACAGTGTTAAAGAACTCTTGAAGAATATCATTCACTAGAAACAACTTTGAAAGCCCATTAAAAATACTCATTTTTAAAGCAATCGAAACGAAGTCTACAACATAACTTCATTTGCCATACTATAAGTCTAGAACCTCTTCCAGTTCAGTCGTCATACTGGCAATGGCGACCAACATTACCACACTTGATGAACAAAGTACTAATAAGTGAATCGAACGATATAGGTTCAGTAATTAAGTAATTAGAGATGATATATAATGTTTGTTCATCTGACGCTATGAAGTAAGGACACAAATTAGATGTACAATTCTTTTTTTTTTTTGGACAGGTTAAAAATATAAAGAGGCAAAGAGAGAAATAAGCATTAATTAACCTAATATAAGGCCAAGCAAACATAAAACAGAAACAAAGCTCAAATAAAAGGAGCAAATGTTTACTATAAAAAGTTGTACATAAGTGGTATCTCTTCAACTTTTTGAACCCTTAATTAACCCAAGGCCTTCTTGTCAGGAAAAAAAACCCCTAAGGACAAGGAAACACGAAATAGAAACAAAACTCAAATAAAAAGGCTAAAATTTGTCACCTCTTTTTCTTTTTGCCTTCTAACCTTCCAAAAACGTATAGCACTTCCTTTCTTGAAAAAAAAAAAAAAAAATTAATAACAAAGACACTTTAAACCAGTAAGTTCATCTATCGCATGAAACTAGCTAACAACATCAATTAAGTATTAGGCCTTGATGATAATATCAAAAACGTATAATTTCATTGTATTGTATTCATCATTTCATCATCCAAAATTAGGAGTCCGATGCAGATTTTATTTTGATAATTACATTGTATTGTATTCACTAAAAGAGAAAAGTTCCAAAAAGGAGCAGCAGTAGACACAAGTCTAATAATATGACAAAAAATGAGTAAATAATTTATCTGGCCTCTCTTTCTACCCTTTCTTACTTCTTGAGATCGATGTTCCCTGTAAATATAGCTGCATCACAAGCATTTTCTAAATCAATTTCCATTATCAAGTGGCCGGAAAAAAGACTCTCTGCACCATCAAGTTGAATAAAGCTCTCCACATAAGAATATGCACTATAAGTCCCCAAATATCCGTGGATTCCTAGATCTTTAGCTCTTTGGGTCTCAAAATTATAAGATAACAGCCAATCACCCTTAATGAATTCTTCTAGGGAATCTGCTTGTAGCAGTTCACCGCTCTTTCTCAAGCCTAGCATAATGATATTAGATTGGTCAGGGATATTAACATTAACCGTAAATCGTTTTATCCAACAACCCAATTTGCCACCCTCCATTGTCCATATGTCACACTATTCATTTCCATAACTAACATAAAATTGGAAAAGATACAGTGATTCCTCCAAAACTGCAATGTCCAATTGATATTTTGGAGCAATTTTTGGCAGCACTACCTTTTCAAAAACTTCATCACCCATTTCGAAATGCATAAGGAGAGAACAATCACCCTCATCAGGTCTCCTCATTCCAACCCAGTATACTGCTCCAATCACGATTGCAGGTTTCTGAGGAAAAATATAACATGAAGGACCAACATCAATTCTTCTCCAAGAGTTCGTGTTAAGACTATAAACCTCAATTAGGAATCGATCTTTGAAGGGCATATCCATGTCGTGCCAGTAGAAAATCCTCACAACCTTGTAGTCATCAACTCCGGGATAGAACCCAAATGCCAAATGATCGGACTTGGAGTCCAAAATTAGAGAGTTTGGGAGTGTCTTTAATTTTCTGAGTGCTGGATTCCATAAGAATACGGTGCCTGTGCCTTCATTAGACAAGCATATGAGCCCATTGCTGGAACCGTGCATGGCTAATGACTGTATGAGAATGTGTGAGGGAAACTGCGGTTCATAATCCTCCCAAAAAGATTTATCAAAGATTCATCATCATAACGTATTGAGTACCGGCCAAATCGGTACAACTCAGATTTGGGGTAGTAGGTAAGGATGATTAAGTGTTTTTTTGGCTTGTGGTTTTGAGATGTGCTTGAATGAAAGTAGGGTGAGTTATTAGAGAGCACCATGATTTGCAGACTGACGTGAATTGGAGTAGTAATTTTACCGGCAGTCTAATGAGAATCTGAATCAAGAGGGAGATAGTGAAGATTGGAAGTTAAGGATTCTATTCTGCCGCTAATCCTAGCCATTTTGTTTTACCTTCCCTTCATGATAATCCGAAACCCTAGATTTTGATTTTTAATCAAGAGACAGGAACTGATAATCAGAAACCCTAATGCAGTTTTAGGAACATATTAATGTTTAACCTTGATCGGCTAAAAAGAAAATAGAAAAGGCTTATGAAAAAACTGGAAACTCTCTCTGTTTTAACACTAGGATCGCATATACTCCGTACATAATGTGGAAAAAATATTTAAAATACAAGTAAAAAATACTAGTTACAAAAGGAAAGGAATATATATGGGTTATATTCCTATTTGCTGTTTAAATGTGGATTTTTTAAAAAGTAAAAGTTGGAACCAAATCCTTTTGAGATTTGAAATTGCAATGGAAAAAGGAATTGGATTATAATTAAAATGGAATTCCATTTACCTTCGGAATAAATTGAAATTCAAATTAAATGATTTATTCTTTTATATTTGGATGTAAAAATAAATTTTAAAAATATATATTTAGAAAAAATAAATTTTGTACCATTTTATATCCTATAAATATGTGTATGTAATAACTTATATTTGTAGGCTTGCAGCACTTGGCAAACATACTATATATATATACCCTATAAAAGTGTATTTAATTTTGATTATTTATATATATTTTTAAATAATTTTTTTAATTTACAAAAATATTATACGTTTTACACACTCTTTTTCTTTTTTCTTTTCTTTTTTTTCAAAGAATTCTTGTTGCTCAAGAATAATTCTTGTTGTTCAAGAATTTTGTCCTCTTATTTCTTTCTATTTTTCCTCTTTACCCTCCTCCCATTCACCACTCTTTCTCGATCTCTACAACTTTTTTCTCTTTGAATTACCTCTCAAACACTGCGGCTAGCCGCCACACCCTCTTTCGCTCTTCCCACCACCACTGTCGCCACCATGGCCTCACTTTATCTCTTTTACCTCTCATTTGCTCTGAAGGTTCCATTATTTTGTGTGAGTCAAGCGGAAGTGGTATGGAAATTAGTTTGATCCCAAGCGAAAGAATTAGAGTGGGTTGAATAGGTTTAGTTTGTCCTTTTAATTAATTTTTATATTATTTTAATTCCACATAATTTAAATGAAATAAATCACACAAATCAATAAAGATAATGCTAGAAAGTAAATGAAGTTAGAGTTTGAGATGACAACGTGATTTTTTATATAGAAACCTCCAAAGGAAAAATCAGGAAGATAAGCAATCAAAAGCGAAAAATTCATCCACAACCTCTAACCTTGTCTCAGTCTCGCATTTACTTCACTCTGCCAATAATTAGTTGTTAAACATTCTAGACTGAGTCTTGTGATTCCTCATTCAAATGTTGAGGGCTCCAGGATGACTCATCAATTCTTGCAGATGAGCATCTTCCTTGCAATTACGAGGATTCGTCTTCACTCCTCAATAACTCTTGTAACGACCCACTCCACCACATGATATGATATTGTCCGCTTTGGGCCTGAGCCCGCACGGTTTTGCTCTTGGGTTTCACCCCAAAAGGCCTCATACCAATTGGAGATGATGCACTTACATATAAGCACTTCACCTTTCCTCTACCCAGGCGATGTGGGACTTGTGCACCCGTAACTCGCCAGTGTGGTAGCCTGACAGTGTCTCTCGCACCCGCCCACAAGGTCATCACAATCCACCCCCCTTGGAGGCCCGACGTCCCCGTCGGCACACTTCCGGCTGGGTCAGGCTCTGATACCAACTATAACGACCCACTCCACCACATGGCATGATATTGTCCACTTTGGGTTTGAGCCCGCACAGTTTTGCTCTTGGGCTTCACCCCAAAAGGCCTCATACCAATTGGAGGTGACACACTTACATATAAATACTTCACCTTTCCTCTACCCAGGCGATGTGGGACTGTGCACCCGTAGCTCGTCAGTGTGGTAGCCTGACAGTGTCTATCGCACCCGCCCACGGCACACCCGTTCACAAAGTCATCACAACTCTACCTTAAACAAAAAAACTCTTCTTTCTTTCTTTCTTCATTCCGTTCATTCTATTGGTGTTCAATTACTCACATATGGCAACCCATCAAGCTTCCGCTGCACTATTCTTATCAATTACTTTTTTTGACTAAAAGCAATAAACTTTCTCTACATACTCTTTATACATTGATCACTTTGCTCTTAATCGAGCTTAGAGCAAACCCCTTTATTCTGCACACCACACTCCCACCATCTTAATTAAAAACTAGTACCTACTCTTTGGCTTGTCCCCAAAACTTGTTTCTCACGGGATTCACACCAACATACATTCGTGTCATCATTAACTCTGATTGAATTTCCATAGCAACTTATGATTAACTTTCTACTTTGACGAACTTCACACCAATCTTCTGCCCAAATCTTTAAGACCAACCACAGGTTCTTACCCACCATCAACTCTAATTCTAGTTGTTAAGGAAATTAACTTAGTCTAACTCACTCAACGATCGACGGTTGTTAAGAGTTAAATCCCTCATTCATTACATAAGCATCATAACATCACATAAACACAAACATATATGGAGAGAACAATCATATACATCAACACATAACACAATACTTTTCATGGTTCACCCAACTTTAGGGTTACGTCCATAGAGAGAAATTTTACTATTATAAATCTTTTGACTTGATAAGAGCTGCCAAGCTCTTTGTCCTCCTCGAAGGGGTTGATTCCTACAGGTTGGCTTGTGGAGGAAACTGTTTGCCCCGTAAATGAGTTGGCTTAACAACCTTGGTGGCACCCATGTGGAAATTTGGTGATGACTAGAGCATACATAAGAGAGGCATGGTGAGAAAAAAGAACTAAATTTTTTACAGTGTTGAAAGCTTGAAGGAAATAGAAGAAGAATGAATCCTCAACCTTCTTTGCAATTTAAAGTTTTTTCCTTTACTCATTCTCGAATTGAATCCTCAACTTACTATAATTGTTGTTGAAATCTGTAATTTACATTATAACTCCCACATTATGATTATGTTTGCAGTATTGTGAGATCAGTTTTTTTTTTTTCGCTAATCGAGTTGTCTAGGGTTTTGTCCCAACTAGTCTACATAACTAATGCAAAGCGATCCCTTCACACGAATCAAATAATGCTCAGACTCTATATGTTTGTGGTTATAGTGAAATCAGGTTGTGTAAGTGTGTGTATATATATATATATATATATATATATATATATAGATGTGTGTGTGTGTGTGTGTGAGTACAAGTGAAGATGATCAGGTTGTGTAAGTGTATATATATGTGTGTGTGTGTGTGTGTACAAGGGATGATGATATTTGTAACTGTCAATTGACATTGGGAGCCACATACTATGGTGTAATGCTATGATTACTAAAAACAAAACAAAAAAAAAAAACTCCCAATAATTTATTAAGATTCAAAGGTAAGTCAGGTGATTTTAATAAAATAAAAGAAGGCAAGCCCGATTATTTAGGATAAAAAAGAAGAAGAAAGTAAGTGGGATGCTTTAGGAAAAAAAAAATAAAAAGTAAGTCCTCGATGGAAGAGAGAAAGTGAGGGCCATAAGAGCGTGTCACAATGAACTTTGATAGTCAGAAAACAAAAATAATGTCGTAGTACGGTTCATAATACACATCTTATTATTATTATTTTTTAAATTGTATATACTTATGAAATTTTATTTTACTATTGCCTCCTCCCCACCAAGGGGAAATTACAAAAATAAAAAATAAAAAAAAATAATCCCCCTATTACCCCTCACACAATTTTCCCCTGTTGCCCCCTCACACAATTTCTTTCTCGCTGTAGAAATTGAACGAGGGTGGGTTTTTTGGAAATGTGAATTTACAAATTTAATTAAATGTTAATTTAAATGTATTTTTAAATAAAATTGATTAAAAAATTAGTGTTTTAAAAATTCAAAAATTATTTTTAAGTTCATAAACAGTACTCCTTCCGTTTCAAATTAAATATCTCTTTTTGAGAATCTATCTTTTTAAAAGGATGGATTTTAATATTTTTTTATTATCTTAATTGCGAATGAATTATCAAATATATTAATAATGGGTTCATTGATGTGATGATTTACTTTTTATAAATTCAATGTAAAAAGGTCTTAAATTAAATGTCTCTTTTTGAAAATCTAACTTTTTAAAAGGATGGATTTTAATATTTTTTTATTATATTAATTGCGAATGAATAACCAAATATATTCATAGTGGGTCCATTGATGTGATGATTTACTTTTTATAAATTCAATGTAAGAAGGTTAAATTGGTAATGTTATAAAAAAAAAATAGTACTTTGACTTTTCAAATGAGATATTTATTTTGTGACGATCAAAAATAAAAATTTGAATATTTAATTTGTGACGGAGGGAGTAAGACTTTTTTCGTCAGTCTTTTTATCCCTCAAAATAAGGAATTTATTATTATTATTATTATTTTAAAAGTAAATATACTTACACGGATTAATTAGGCAGAATTATTAGGCCTATTAAATTTAATTGGTCATTAATGTATTAAATAAAAAAGTTAAAATCTCATTTTCTTATATTTAATATGTATTATGTATTAAAGAATCAAATGTAATTGGCAAAGTAAGTCTACCTAATTGTTCCGTATATGTATCATTGCTTTTTTTTTTTAAAAGGATACTCTGAGCATAAAAATTGTCTTTTTCTGTTAATTGATTGG